TTTTTTTTTTTTTTTTGTTTTTAATGGCAGAGGGGATTTAGGGAGAGATGAGAGAAATAACTGTATTTACTCATTTTTTGTTTTATTTCATTCATTTTATTTTTTTTTTTTACATAGTTGGTCCAATATCAGCAAATATCCCAGTCATTGGCCTATTCCATTTTGTTTAGGCACAAAAATGCTGAAATCCGTTATCCGTTAACTTCATTTCTTCCCGTTCCTCCTACATTTGAACGATAAATATTCTTCCTTTCTTTTGCCTCTTTTCATCATCAATAAAGAAAAGATAAGGAGGAAAAAATAAAAAAAAGAAAGAAAGAAGTTAGTTTGCTAAAATAGGCAAGGATGATTGAAAATTGACAAAAGAGGACATAAGAACATGGGAAGGGGGGTTCGATAGATGATTTTACACGGATAACAGCACTTAGTGAATTTTCGCAACTCTAACTCGTCTTTAAAAATAATTTAATTTTACCACAATCCTCAACCTTCTCCACTATACCACTTCTCTTTTTCGTTACTTTTGCCCTTATCCTTATGCGTACCCCTTACCATTACCTTAATGCTCTCATTTAATTCATTCCCTTGATCAACGCTAAAATGTTTGGAAATGAACAATGATCATCATTACTAAAAAAGAACGAAAATTCCGGATGTTTGATAATTAACAAATTTAGGTCCTAATTTAAAAAAAAAAATAAAAAAGAAAAAAAAACGAAGGATGGACTCCGACCTCTAAATCTCTTTCAGGAATTTTTTTTCAAGCACTTTTTCACTCCGGTTTTTTCTCGCATTTAGCGCAAGATTAAAATGAGGTAGAAAATACTATCTTAGTTGTTGTAGTATTTTTGAATTTTCCATTTTTTTTCCGTTTTATTATGGAATGAATAGTGGATTTATATTGAAGAGAAAACGAAAAGGATTAAAAAAAAAAAACAATCGCAATCATTTGAATTTATGAATTCCATAAGCAATTGAAAAATCAAAATTAGTTAAATCAATTGTAAAGTAAGATGAAAATGACTCATGAAATACCATTCTCTTCTTTCCTCTCTTTTATTCTATTCCTCAATTTCAACTATCAGAATTTGCTGCTGGTGACAGACCGAGAAGATTGTATTTTTTTTTTTAATAATGACAGTGATAACAGACATGATGTTTAAGTTAATAACAATTGGATGTGAAATTTCAAGTGATTTAGATGTCAAGTTCATTTCGTATATATATGCATATATACATATATATATATATTTATACATATATATATATATATATATATATATCGGTATAGTTTAAACATTTGCGTTATTGGTTGAGGGTCGAGGGGCAGGCGCGTTTTAGCGCAGAGTTATTGTGTTGACATTTCATCGGAGTGGAGGAGCACAGCCCCACCATCATCATCATCATCAACTAAACCATCACCACCACCACCACCGCCGCCGCCGCTACGATCACCACCAAACATTTACGAGAATCGAAGCCGCCGAAGTGCAGCGCACCTCCTGCCTCCGCCACAAAGCTAACAAATGCCACCCGGAAGAACGCCAGCAACATCAACGTCCGGTCCGTTCTTTACAAATGCACCCTTACGGGAGATAATTCATTTCAATTTTCTGGTTAGTTAAGATTCAGTTGAAATTGATAGAAAATAGGATAGGGATACGAAGTACGGGGTAGGAGTGAATGCGACATGGAAAGGAGGGGGGGCTGGGGGGGGGGGGGGACATCAAGGTCACCTTGGATCGTTCATATGATTTGTTCATCCTACTCACTAGACGTCATCCCTCTTCTCAATTTCCCCTCCCCTTTTCATCTTTTACTGTCACCTACCAACATCACTAAATACCAGCCACATTCGATCGTCTATTGTTTGTTAAGTTTCGAAAAAATTTGTTACTTAGAAATAAAATTCTTCCGTTTAGCAATTTTTCCAATTACAAATTGTCCCTTCTATGATTTATTGTCGTTTATGCAGAATTCTGAAGTTAGACATGTATTCATAGTTTTGTAAACAAAACTGATACTGCTAGCATTCATTCGAAATAATGTAAATGCCAGTATTATCTAACTTTTATTGCTTTTCATTTATATTGCTGGATAATAATTCGCAAAGTTTTTATCGTTAAATTGAATTTTGAATCATCACCAAAAGAGCATCTCATTATGGGATAATGCCTTTTTGCCTTTCTTGTACACTACAAAGTTTTACGACGAACTAACTAATTGAAATTTATCAATGAATGAAATCAAACTTGATCACATCACCTTAGTTATATGTATTTTAGTTGGTTAGTTTTGAAAACATTGTAGAATCATCTGGATAGTACACATTGAAATGGTATAAGAAAAAGAAAAATGAATGTGTTTTAAGATTTATAACAAGAAGGGAAAAACAAAAATTGGAAATTGGAACTTATTGTTTCTTTTGCAAAAGTATTGAGGGATTAATTTTTCTCTTAGGAAAAATCGTTAATTTTAACTTTTTCATACCTGTAACTGTTGTTTTCTTTTTTCTTCAAATTTCATTTTAATATGATTTGAAATCTCTCAAAAAGAATTTTTCGAAGGGTTGTCTATGTATATGTGACTCATCGTTTGTCGGTTTGGAAACGGGCAAATGCACTGCATCAGTTTATGTAAATAAATTAGTCGACTTTTGAAAGCAGGTGGATAAACCTTGAATGCCTAGCACTACCATATAATTTAGAAAACCTGATCCTCAAGGTTTAGGAATGTTAAAGGACTGTTGAGATTTGATGTTACAGTGCTATCAACATATGGTTAAAGGAAGAACTTTTGAAAATTTTGAATTTTACACTAAACTTTGAAATTTATAAAATAACCAAAACAATTATTCTGTTCAATTTACAATGCATATTATCCATTACTTTACCTCTTCCATATTTTTTCTTTTCTTTTTTTCCTTTTTTTTTTTTTTTTGAATTGTTCGAATTGTAACCTTGAATTTTTCAAAAAATGAAAAAAGAAAGTAAAAACTCATGCTTGGTGTTTTTGTAGAATTCGAAAATTTTGTCTCTTTTTTTTTTTAAAATCAACTTTGATTTTTAATAAACAATCGAAAAAAGAAAAACATTTAACTTTTTATCTTTTAAACTTTCAAATTAAGCGTTGTTTATTCATTGTTAGGAGGTAGAAAACTTTCTCGGAAGAAAAAAAAAATGTGAAAAGGAAAGGAAAAAAAGTGCTTTATTCGTCGCTGCACTTTTTTTGCACAATACTTCCTCGTACTTCCTTTTTTAATCGTAACTTCCG